ATATATATATATATATATATATATATATATAGTTTTTTTCATTGAGTTTTATCTTGAAAGCCTGATGGTCTTTACCAGCTCAAGGTGGCATCAATAAGTCTGACAGCCGTACCTAATTTTCTGGCAAAGGTTGGTCTTGGGATTTTTGCAGAATTTGCATTCGCCACACTGTGGCACATACAACGGGATGACGGTATCGCCTTTGGTCGAAGAGAAACATGAATAATTAGAAATCATACCAAAAAAAACACCAAACATACTTATTCACAACAAAATTCAATATGGTGTTTGGCAGCTTCATACCTGGCTTGAATTTGGAGACACCCTCACCAACGCTCTCAACTGTTCCAGCACCCTCGTGGCCCAAGATAGCAGGGAAAAGTCCCTCGGGGTCACTGCCACTCTGAGTGTAGGCATCTGTATGACACACTCCTGTGGCGAAGATCTGAGAGGAAGGGTGTCATTTAAAAGATGTCGGGCCAGAAATAAACATCCTCTTAGTTACCTAATGTCTGTGCTAAGTCATGTCTTTCTTAAAAGCCCATGTGTGATTCTTCCAGAGTTGTTCTCCTGCCTCTTATAATTATGAGACAGGTCCGGAAAAAAAAAAGAACATAAAAGCTGGATACAATCTCAACAGCATTCATGCAATGGTTTGGTTTACCTTGATGCGGACTTCATGGGCTTTGGGTGGAGCTACCTCCACCTCCTCAATGGAAAGAGGCTTCCCAGCTTCCCAGGCAACAGCTGCCTTGCACTTGATAACCTGAAGGCAAAGTTCGGTGCGTTTTTTTATTTTTTCAAACAATGCTTTTAAAAAGTAATTATGCAACTGCAGCCGTGGGTTGACTGAGGCTTTACAGTGTGTGTGTGTGTACGTGTGTGACAGGTCCAACTAGTTGCACAATGTACTTAGTCTCTGAAATGTAACCAGGCTTATGTAAAGCCAACCCAGAGTTCCAGTAGTTCACTGGTGGAGTGCAATCTGCTTTTATGCCATTAACCCAATTTAGATTTTTCTGCAGATCTTTTACGCTGAGTGAGAGGTAGCTACAATTTATAGTCCGGTTTCTTAACTCGTCAGAGTGAAACATAGCTCTCGGGACAAGCATTGCAGCAACTTGCAGCATACCAGTAGCGACTGGTCAAAGATCCCTGTTCAGTAACGGAACAGTGGTTCTTTGTACTTGTTAATTCAACGCACGTCAGTGAGTGCAAGCTGGTTGAGAACGTTGCCTTTTTATGCTTCGTGTGAAATTGCTACAACTTTAACGACACACATATAGAACCAATGCATTTAAAATATGCATTGCGCATTTAGTGGGAAATGTACTTACTTTTCCAGCTGTCTCCATGTTCGTTCATTCAGCGAGAGAGAGGGGAGGGTGGGTGCAGTGCGCTGCCGTAAAGGAGTTAAAGCCCGGACCAATCAGAAACGAGGACGTGCGGCGTAAGCATGACGCAGGCGCAGAGCAGAGAGGGCACGTTTCACAAGTGGTTTGAAAATATGAAATATTCTTTTAGAGAATATTCAGCAACATTTAGAAGTGGAAGATCATTCGTGGCCCCGGAAGTACTTTTACAAATTAATTAGTTCAGTCCTCATTTCCGAGTACACTGAATGTGAGATGGTGAGGACATTTAAATACAAATGACTCATCTTCATTTAGTAATTCTCAAAAATCAGTCATTAACAATATGTATTGCATTTCCTAAGACATCTAATAACCTAATTAAAAATAAAAAAACCTAAAATATCAGCTCCTTCTCCCTCAATTAAATGTACTAAATCTATGAATAGGCAAATACTTTATATCAGAAGTTTTACTGGGCTCAAGATGTCCAACACTTCACTGAAAAATCCATCTGTATACATACACACACACCTTTGCATGGTGGACCATGATTGGCTTCCAAACTTTATCCCTTCAGATGATTAATGTGAAAGCTTGTAGTGTCAGTGTGTTGCTGTGTACGGAATTGTCAAACCTCAAATTAATCAACAATACACAAAGCTTGTTTAAGTGGGCAGGGAGTGTAGAACATTCTTTTGATACATTTCTCCCTATTCTCCACCCTAAGATGCCACTTCGCCGTCTACTACCAAGACCTGAGAATATAAAACAAGACAGTTACAAAGCACCTTTTAATCAAGGCCTTTAACAGAAAATGTGACAACATTCTGATTAGGACTTTACAAAAAATGGGTATTAAAATGTTTTCAACTAACAGTATATTAAGATTTCCCACATCGGAGGAAATTAATACATGAAGGTGTGTGAATGTATCTCTTGAAATCGTGGTCAAAGTACAAACATCTGTCATGGCCAAACATTTGAACAAAATCAGCAGAGGACATTGACAAGCCTGTTCACAAAGGGACCCGATAACTCTCCTTATCAGGCTGAAAGGTCCTCGTTATGTTACACGCAAGTATACGTATGAACCTTTTAAATTATAATCACCCATCACATATTCAAAACTGGTACAAAAATAAAACAAAGACGGAAAATCCATTCAAGTTCTTCAATTGGAGGCAATGTCTATATTCTGAGTCCAACAGGCCAGGCACCGTCATAGAGCGCAGCCTCTTTGAGGCTTTGAGATGAGACCGTCACAACAGACCATCACCATCAGATTATCTCGAACCTGCAAGTGAACCACAAAAAAAAAAAAAAAAAGGTTACCTTCACACCAGGACAACAAGTATACTTTGAAGAACATTGAAAAAGGACAAACCTCTGAATCCACGTCCTCCTCCTCCACTTCCTCTTCCTCTGAAGCCTCCTCCACCTCGTCCGCCTCCAAATCCTCCACCGCGGCCGCCTCCAAATCCTCCACCGCGGCCGCCTCCAAATCCTCCACCGCGGCCGCCTCGAAAACCGCCTAAAACAAAAGCAGAATTAATCAAACCACTCTTGAAAGCTGTGATCCGAACAGGCACAAAGGAACAACACTTTCAATCCACAATAACTAAGACTGACAGCTAATTTAAAAATAAGTAGCCAAGATGGAGAAAAGAAAATGTGGGTCATACACTACACATTCACCAACAATAGGAGACAAGACTGACTACAATGACACGTTTGGTTGCCTCACCTCCACGGCCACCGCCTCTTCCCCCTCGACCTCCTCTTGGCGGACCCTTCTCTCCTGGCGGCCTGGGGAGGAATCTCTGCAGCGGGAGGAGCTTCATTGGATCTATATAAAACTAAAAGAGACGTTGCAAATCACACGCAATGTAATACACAAGGGCACTGAAATGCTTTTAAGTATGAAAACGCACTTCTTTAAAATGTTGAAAAACGTCTTTTTATACCTTCTGCGGTTTCTTAAATGAAGACGCCTTCATGTTGTCAGAAAGTTTGACTGAAAAATACTGCAAGGGTAGGTTAAGGAATTAACAGGACTTTGAGCTGCAACAAAGACAATTTATTCCACAGAGGTGGACGTTTACTTTTTCCACCACAGGTTGTTCCAGAGACTGAAATAAAGACAACAGAAAGGATACAAATTCCCGGAGCTGGCCAAATATCTCATCCACCTTCCCGATCTGCTCCTTGTTTTCCAGGTACACTGGGGCGTTGAAGTAGGGCACTTTGTTTTCCTCCGTCGTGCACTTGCACACAATGTCATCTTCACATGGATGCACGAACTCTCCCACCGCTGAGTGGAAACAATGGAGGACAGTTAGTTGGTATTCCAGCGCCACGGCAAATGCAACTCAAGCATATAACACAATTCAAAGACACATCAACAAAACATTAAAGAAGTTGGCTAAAATGTTTTTAGTCAGGCTTCAAACCCTGCAAGTATTAACACTTGTGGCTACTTGTTTGCATTATGATGGCATGACTGACTTCCAAATAATGCGCCTTCACAAGTGTTTTACACTGTCGATTGATTTTTGCTTTTTAGGCCCTACCATATTAAATCAGCCCAACATTGGATAATTCAGAGTATGAATTAGTGTGTCCTAGTCCCGATTACTGCTTGGATGTTGACATGAAGGTTGTTTACAAGTTGAAAAATAATAAAAGTTATCTTTCTTCTTGTCACGTCAACACTCATCATACAGGGGATGTTATTTCAAGTCTGTGATGCCTCAGTGTTCCGTTCTACGGGTTGATACAGGAGCTGGGCCGAGCACATGGACATTCACAAACAGTCAGCTTCTCAGCAGTGCTGGTTTCATGATCTTACCGACGACATATTCTGGAGGACCGTAGTCTTGTCTGTTAAAACCACCTCTGCCACCACCGCCACGTCCAAATCCACCACCTCCTCTAAATCCACCACCTCCTCCTCTACCTCCGCCATATCCACCTCCTCCACCTCGGCTAAACCCTCCACCTCCTCTGCCTCCTCGTCCACCGCCTCCTCTGAAAGACATACTTCTGGGAAACCTCTGCGAGAAACACGAAGAGAAGAAATAAGTCAAAAACAAAGAGTATACAAACACGTGAAAACCCTGTTGTTTTTAAACGGAGCATGGGCGATACATAGCTTAGCTAAACCCCGTAGAGTGAAGTCGTTGCATACATCGAGCTAACATCGTGGACTCGGCAGCGCTGCGAAAGTTCTAGCTAACATGCTAGCTTAATATATTCATTTAAACTATACAATTCAGCCGCAATTTCCACCACAAATCAACCCATTATGTATTCCCTTCAAAATATAAACATACAACAGTATATAACGTTATGTACACACAACTAAAGCAGATTACTCACAAAGTCGATCGGCAAGCAGCAGCTATTTACTAGGACGGACTTCCATGCGACGACAACACGTGTGACCAAGAGCTGCCGTAAAGGCGTTCACCCGTATCCGGAAGTGTCGTAAAATCACATCTCTAACGCCACTCACATGATATGCAAGTGAGCCGAAAGTTAAGTCGGTTTCCTCTTGAAGACAGAGACAAGAGACTGCTCCAGTGAGACCTTCGGTGTTGATATAATACGACACAAAGTTATGTTTGTGAGACTTGGTAATGTATGTATGTGTACATTTTCCAATAATTTGATTATTTTTGTTTACTTGCAGGCAAATTAATAAGGACACATCACTCAACGATGTCAACAACAGGTCAGGTAAGAAAATACACTTCATCTGCAATATATTTTGTTTGATCAGTAGTATAAACTGAAGTTGTTGTTGTTGTTGTTGTTGTTGTTGTTGCTGGACGTTTTGTATACTCTGGCAAGTAGTATGATATTCAACCTATTTCAAAACAGCGGCCACGCCCAGCCAAAACTTGGCCCCGTCATGTGTCTTCTCATTTGAAAAATAAACAGTGTCACCCACAACCAAGCAACGAACATGGTGTTTTTTATTCTCGCTCAGGTGATCAAATGCAAAGCAGCTGTTGCATGGGAGCCTGGGAAGCCTCTGTCCATTGAGAATGTGGAGGTGGCCCCACCCAAGGCCCATGAAGTCCGCATCAAGGTCAGCTGATCATCCGGAGTTTGTCTGTAATGCAAGAAAGTAGGAGTATATTATTGGTTGTATACGTGGGCACCTACACAGCAAACATTGCAGTGTTAACAGGAGTTTATTTTTCAGTGGCAATCACTTGAAGTTGATGGTGTTAAATTATAACAGAATGAGAAGAACTAATCGGAAAAATGTTATAATATCTTATCCCACGGAGACAAATTAACCAAGACTTAATTGTATTACTCACATGGATGTTACTTCTTGTTTTTACTTTGATCATACAGGCGACACATGCTGAACTATTTAAATATGTCTTACTTACTCTGTTTCAGTTTGTTTTGGTCGCTAACCACATCCACTCCCTAAATGTGATGTCGTATCATGTGAATTGACTGTCTATGTGTTTGTACAGGTTGTTGCTGCGGGCGTGTGTCACACAGACTGGGAATACCTGCATCAGACTGGAAAAGGGCTGAAGTTTAGACCATTCCCGTTAGTTCTCGGCCACGAAGCGGCGGGGATAGTGGAGAGCGTCGGCCCCGAAGTCACCAACTTCTCACCGGGTGAATTGTACAGCTCACAACAAACAAACTGACATCACATGACATGTAACTCTGACTTAAGTAATCTGTCTGCTTGTTGTTTTCACAGGTGACAAAGTCATTCCTCTTTTTCTGCCACAGTGTGGGGAATGTGAACAATGTCAGGGCCTTAAAAGGAATCAGTGCAGGAAGAACTGGTGATCATTACTACGCTCACACACGCAAATCACTATTGCTTTCATGGTGTTTAGCTACTCAGTGTTTCCAATTCCGTTCCATTTTGTGGCTTTCAGGGCGAACGCACAAGTGGGTGTATTGGCTGATGGCACAAGCAGGATATCTTTTAAGGGCCAACAGGTGTACCAGTACCTTGGGATCAGTTCTTTCTGCCAGTACACTGTGGTTCCCGATATCTGTCTTGCAAAACTAAGAAGTGACGCACCGCTCGACAAAGTGTGTCTACTCGGCTGGGATGTCTCCACCGGTTATGGTGCTGCTGTTAATGCATGCAAGGTGAGAGGATACAGATCTGCCAGATACTTCATATCATAATTTGAATTCTCACCAACTCTGATGTGGACCAGTGGTGGTTATGTGCAGAACGCTGCCTGTCCTGAGAACAAGAGGAATGCAACACATTTACAAAGATGTAATTACATAATAACTAATTATAAACAGTTACTTGTTATAACAAAACTGTTTTACTGTCTGAAGGGAAAAAAATGACAAAGCATTTTTGCGTTCCTGATAAGAATTTGTTCTTTCAAATAATCCAGCAAATTTTTTTAAATTCAAATTCAATTATGTTTTTGGTTTTATAAATCAGGTTTGCAATAATAAATCTTATTGCACGAAAATAAAATGGGCCACTACGAGGTAAAAAGAAAAGCAAAAGGTGTATAATGGGTATGTTGAGAAGAATGAAGGCTAAATATATTATATAAAAGTTATCTTTAAACATGATGAAGTGATCTCATCAGATGTCTCTCTAACAGCTTTTGGTTGTCTGACTCCCAAATCGTGTGCATCCAGGTGGAAAAAGATTCATCGTGTGCTGTGTTTGGGCTCGGAGCTGTCGGACTGGCAGCCGTCATGGGCTGCCAGGCTGCTGAGGCAAAAAGGATCATCGCGGTCGACATCAACCCCGACAAGTTTGAGAAAGCCCGAATGCTCGGAGCCACTGACTGTGTCAACCCCAACGATTATATCAAGCCCATCCAGCAGGTTCTGGTGGATTTGACAGACGGAGGGGTGGACTACGCTCTAGAGTGTAATGGAAAGCCAGTTTTTACGGTGGGTAATAAGAATCCTCCAGTAGTCTGTGCAGTGTCAGAGTAGATCTGTAAAGCAGTATGTGCACATAGGTTTGAGGTTTAAGAATTTCTGCAAAACAAAATATGTCAATCACACATTTTTTTGACACAATTTGTTTCTGTGCAAATCTCATTTTTTTCACGTTCTAGTTTGATTGGATTTTACGAATTTGTAAATATATTTTAAAAAGAGTATTAATTCAGACAACAGGTTCTTTATGCTCTCTGAGTGCTGCGCTGGAGTCCACGACAGACGGCTGGGGCACCTGTGTCATTGTCGGGGAGAATGAGACGGAAGCAATGAGCGTCACGGTTGAAAAGATCCTGATGGGACGCACCTTGAAGGGGACCTATTTTGGAGGTGAACTTTAAAAACAAGTTAGTTACTTCATGCAAAAAAAAGATGGCCTTGCATAATGCTTCAATTTAAAACCGTGCAAAGTCAGCTGTTGCATTTCTGGGCCCAATTCCAAGTATTGATTTGTGCTCATTATTGATAAGAATATTGATGTTTAAAAGAGAGTTAAAATGCCAATCACAAGTTTTCAGAGCCTATAAGGTGAACAGAAAAAAAGTAAGAAGCAGTTAATGTTGTACGCTATTGCTCCATTAATGACTCAAGAGTGAATCAGTCATCTAAATGGTTTCGTCATACAACTTTGAAGTAATGTACAGGATGTAAATGTACGCTCAGATCTGATTAAAAGTAACAAGTCTGCGCTCGTTCTTTGGATCGTCGAATATGGAACACAGGAAATCACTAAATGAAGTAGAAAATGAGGCAGGCTGAGGGGAAGCGGGTCCACCAGCACAGAAACACATCACAAACTAACATCTGATATGCACCGAACATCTAACATATCTAACATCTTTAGAGTATTCAAAGCCCCCCTTTGAATACTCTAAAGATGTTAGATATGTTAGATGTTCGGGGGAGATAATGAGGGAAATGGCTTTTCTCACGAGCTCATTAATGTCTGCTATATTGTGGTCCATGAGGACTCAGTTTTGTTATCCTCTTCTAAAGATTGGAACAGTGTGGCGGATGTGCCGACACTGGTGGACGACTACATGAACAAGCTGAAGCTGGATGAGTTCATCGACCACAACCTCCAGCTGGACCAAATCAATACGGCCTTCGAGTACATGACGAGTGGGGAAAGGTAAGACGTGATTCATTTGTGGCCTCTATTCTTTTTAAAAAACGTCTTTCTGAAAGCGTGCGTGTGTCTCCTTGTATTACTCACGTTGTGTGTAAAACACTGTCAAAGCTCTCCTCCCCTGAGGCTTAAACAATTCCAATTAAATAGCATTCCTACTCATCATTTAGTATCTGATAAAGGAAGGACATTTATTGTGGTATTCCAAACAAGAAAATTAATTCTTTAGAAAATATCAAGAATAGCAAATTATTCAGCAATATAAGTGTGATATACTGTAAATGTATTATATATTATTCTTTATGATATATTGTCTCTGTCAGCTGCAACTAACTATTATTTTGATTATTGATTAGTCAGATTGTTTTTCATGATTAAAAGATTAATCGCTTATCCATAAAATGTTGAAAAAACTTTGAGAAGTGTCCATCGCAGAGTCCAAGGTGATGTCTATAAATGTCTTGTTTTTCCCAAAACCCAAAGATATTAAAAACTCTCAAATATTCACATTGGAGAAGCTGGAAACAAAGATTATTGTTGTTGTTTTTTACTGACTCAAATCAATAAATCAATATATCGGGTCTGGTGAGATTCAGACTTCAGTTATCCTAACGATATGTCTTCTTTCTTTTTAGCATCCGTACTGTAATCAGTCTGTGCGAGGCGACACCTACAGGGGATACCGTACAAGGCAAGGGAAGTTTATTTGTATAGCACATTTCAACAACAAGGTAATTCAAAGTGCTTCACATAAAACCATTAAAAGCATCAAAACATAAGGCAAAAGAAAAGGAGATTTAAAAACAATTAAGCATTAAAACATTAAAAAAACAGTGTAAGAAATAAAATACAGTAGTACAATGCAGAAATGCAGGAAATTGATTAATATATTAATTGAATCTGGTTCAATTAAAGGCAGCAGCAAACAGAAAAGTCTTCAATCTTGATTTAAAGGAGCTGAGGGTCTCAGCAGACCTGCAGCTTTCTGGGACTTTGTTCCAGATATGTGGAGCAGAAAAACTGAACGCTGCTTCTCCATGTTTAGTTCTGACTCTGGGAACAGAAAGTAGACCGGTCCCAGACGACCTAAGGGGTCGGGATGGTTCATAAGGTAGCAGCAGATCAGAGATGTATTTTGGCCCTAAACCATTCAGTGCTTTGTAAACCAACAGCAGGATTTTAAAGTCAATTCTTTGTTTGACAGGAAGCCAGTGCAAAGACCTCAGAACTGGAGTGATGTGATCCGCCCTCCTGGTCTTAGTGAGGACTCGAGCTGCAGCGTTCTGAATCAGCTGCAGCTTCCTGACAGACTTTTTACAGAGACCTGTAAACACACCGTTACAGTAGTCCAGTCTGCTGAAGATAAATGCATGGACACGTTTTTACAAGATGAAGAAGTTACATTGCCATGCAAGCAATGAGATTTTGCATACATTTCTGCAGTGTATTTGGGAACCTTTCTAAGCTATTTTTCTTAAAAAATATTGACAATTTAAATATTTTCCTTGCTTGACTTTGTAGCAAATGAGCACCTTGGCCACTAGAGGGCACACTTGTATCATGTAAAAGCTTCTGCGTCTAACTTTATAAAGACATTTCTTTTCTATCTGCAAAGGAATCTGTGTTTTTATTCAGATTAACTTATTAAAGTTATTTTTTTCTTTTGTTTATCACACACTTGATTAAAGGGGAGAAACCCCCACAGCATGTTCAGTGAACTTGTGTAAAATAATGCTGAATGTAAATCATAGATCTATACAGCATCTGCAGTAACACAGAGACAATTTATCTCTACAACTGTCACACTTGGCAGCTATACAGTGATTCTGGTCCAGATATCAATGTGAGGTGATAGTTGGAATTACATACCCTTGTATAGAAGATGGGGTAAAAGACACAGGAAACAAATGGCTGAATCTGTCATCAGCCATGGAGAAGTATCTGCTTCATGTGGTCAGGCTTACCAAATTTCGTCCTTGGTAATATTATATATTGATTTAATGGGGAGAGGGGATAGAATAACAGTTGTGGGCTGTCAGGACAGAAGACAAAAGGTTGTTTGGGGAATGCCTCTCGGTGAAGAACTGAAATAGCTGTCGAAGGAATTTGTTTTATTGAAGTTACGTTCGGATCAAATGAAAACCTTTGGCAGTTCCCTCTGCTTTTCCGTCTTTGTTTTAAATGGAAAATAAATTGGGGCTCGTCCTCTTATGTTGGTCTCCTATGCTTTGTGTGCCATAAATCACAGATTACACAGCTTAGACACCCCCATCCTCCTCCCAAAGAATCTCAAAGTAAAGGCAGTTTTCAAGAAATAGAAAGCAGAATAATGCAGAGAATGGGGCAGCAGAGGGAGATAAGAGAGGAAGATCAAAAGACAGAGGAAGACAAGTTTTGACAGGTGGTTATGTGACTGGGCATCGTCATCTAAATGTTGGACATGCTCACAGATTTATATGGCTTTCTTGGGGACATGTGTCTGAATGTCTGCCTCATAGATGGGAAAACTATTCAAAGAGACGACCATAAGTCTCCAACCTTTCTTCCTCTCTGTGTCTGAACTCCACAACCTCTGGAATTGTCACAGCTTTGTGCAACTAATACACGGAGGGCATGCTCTCTGAATTACAACCACAGCTTTGGCCACATTTTTCTTGAAATCTTAACTGTCCATCTCGGCATGTTTGACTTACACTGTGTAACTTGTCTGGATTGGAAACGTTGGCGTAAAGCAGCATGGAGCATTGCTAATGTGCAAATGAAATAATCGTATTTACATTTTTATTTCTTTGTTCATTTGCTTTTCCCTCTTGCTGTCATGACTTCACATGCGTCAACTCTTTTAGGCACGAGTGTTCATATAATTGACAAAACGACAGAAATGCCAGATGAGGTAAATGCCATCACACAAATAAAGGCATGTCTGGGGAAAGAAATGTCAAAAGGTGCCGTCTTGCCTTCAAGAGATTTCCTCTTATTTACTAAGCTTTATTCCTGGGTGACAGATGGCACATTAAATATGATGAGGACATGAAAATGGTGGGTGGGAAACAACCTATTTGAACAAGGACGCCATCTTCTTGTTAAAAACAATACAAAATATAATACAACCGTATCCATTCACACACATTGTAAATGAGAAATAGTGTCGCTGTGATTCAACTGGTAATTCATGTCATGGCAAATAAATATAGTATATCCACCAGAAACCACAAATAATACTATTCGGTATTAGCGTATAGTTATAGTTTTATATCTTCTTATATTAGTTATTTCAATACATGGAAAGTGGCTTCTGCACAAGAAAGACTGCACTCTAAGACGTCACACTTGGAAAAGTAGTGGTGTAAGTAATATAATGAATGATGGCTGATTTCCATTTCTGTTCACACTGTCATGGTTTACTGGGACGTTGAATTTGTAACATTTATCCACTATGACAAGGCAAATTGTCTGCTGTGAGCAAAGCCTAGGCATAAATGGGTGCAGGAACATTTTGGTGGTACATGGTTATTTCAATTGGGTATTAAATGTATTCTTCTTACCAGTTCAGGCCTATGACAGGGCTTACATTCTGTAAATGTGTTAAAATGACATTGCTTGTACACCTCTAAATGGCTGCTTAAATCGCATTAATCAGTCAAAAACAACTTCCGTATTAACATCTCTGAGAAATAAGCTAGAGGGGAAAGCATGTCTGAAAGAGACACAGTCAGTCAGACAGAGAGATAGAGGGATGGATATACTGTATAGCCCCAACGGCTATGGAAGAACGCCCCACTTAAGTCACTAAAGACTGCCAATGTGAGGCCCCTGCTTTATCAGCAAATCCTGGACATTATACGGCTAATGCCAGGCATCGCCTGTGACATACCCAGTCTTTCTCTGACACGGTTAGCTTGAGCTTCTGTGTCAGTGGAGTATACCCAGCTTCACCAGAGGACAGCACAATACAGTGCTTAGCAATGTTCCCGCTGTATAAGTGCACTGTGCAGTAACAAATCTGACACAGTGGGGTATTGTTATTACATTGTACATTTTTAGAAATTGATATAAACACATTTTGACATCACAAACGACATTCAATAGTTTTCAAGCACTAAAAGCAGTAGTCTACTTTTACAATAATGTACAGGTCAGGGCTCAACAACAATTGGCCGCTTTCCAGGGGCAAGTAAAATGCCACGCTGAGCTTGTTAATCTTGTAAATCACTTGTCCGATTGGACAAGCGGTAAAAAATAATTAAACACATCTCTGTTGAGAGTTGCACATCCACAGAACCGATCGGCATGACTGAGTAAATCGCGGCGAGTAGACACAAAGTTTAAGAGCTCAAACACAAGCCAGCGTTTTAATTATCCTGGAAACAGGAGTTTAATTGGTGTTAGAAGATGTGGGCAAAACTCCAGATTCATTTACTTAGATAAAGATTCATCATTGCACTTAACTTTAGCCTTTGTCGTCATTTCATAATCGCGAATAAATATATGGGGGCAAGTAAAAAATAGATGTGTTGTAGATTTCTGACCCACCCACCCAACTGTTGGCACTCCCAAAACATACATTCTGGTGTGGTCCCGCACTTCAGAGGCCTTATTGTAATACAAAACCCTGACAATGGCTGCATCATGCTGTTCTCATTGAGTCATCCAACACCATGTGTTTTCTTATTTTGTAACCTGTCAATCATATTGTGTCAGTGTTTGATAGTTAAATTGCAACAGAAATAGACAACAAAGAACAGGATTAGACAGACCACACGTGGCTATTACCAAAGAGACACACACACACACACACACACACACACACACACATAGACACACACACATACATAAGGGGCTGTATATGCGTGACAGCTTTAAGCTTTTGTTGTGTTTTGTCTGACAGCAGCAGTAAAGTAGTTATTGAGAGATTAGCTCTAAGGTGCTATCATGGCACTCCTTTGTCTCCCTCATTGGTCACACAGAACAGTACCAGCATGCGTGGGAAGGAGTCATACACTGCTATAGATGGTGTAGTTAGCCTTATTTTAGCTCCTTTGAATCATGACTGCCTCGGTCCAAAAATGGCATCCATAACCAAGACAATGTACAATATAATATTTTTAATCACAGGTAAATGTCATAATCTGATTGTCAAATAGGTTTGCAGAATCAGATTGAGTGCATGTGTAGATGTGTCTTTGATCCTTACTGTCATAAAAGTTAAACATCGAATATAGTTCCTTTGAAAAGGTACAATCATTGAACATTTTACCCTGTGGGATTTTACAGAACTTATCCACAACAGACCTGGACCCAGCCCTATCCGCTCTGCCACAACGCTTTTTTTCCGAGTGCCAACAGAGTCGTTTCATGTGGTTATGGGCTGAAGGTAGGGGGAGATATATCTCTCAGACCCTGTGTGTTTACCCCCCTAATCCCTGAGAAGAAGTTCACAAGCATGAGGAAAGTACTGGGAGCTTTAGCTACCTCCCAAACCTGCTCAGTTTACCACTCCCCGGTTTTCCACATTCACATGGGGGCTTGGGTAATTCCTGGGAATGTTTGTGAAGGTTTTTGTACGCATGTGTGTGTGTGGTTGTAAGAATATAATTGGTACATAATGACTGGTTGTTGTTCTTATATGGAACAATCGACACTAGTCTGTGCAATAAGAATGTGTGCATGTTCAGTGGCGCTGTCAATGCAGCATGTCCTCTACTGTTACTGTTGGGTCACATACTTCTAACAACATGATCTGTACAGCACTGTTTGAAAGAGAACACATTCACAGCAGTGCAGACTGTGACTGGTAGTGCATTCTACAGCAACAAATGGACTCATGGTGGCAAATTAATGCTTTCAAAGGTGTGAGAAGAGATTTTTTTCTGTTGGCCTAAGTGAGCAACCTTGTACGTAGGAGCTCAGTAGGTCAGAAATATAATTTGTAAATGCATGCCTTATACGTAAGTGATATAGTAGACTTTTGAGCTACTTTTGAAACTAAAATTGGGATAATGTGGTTCCTTGTCTTACTTTTAGTTGACATTCATTGCATTTTGGATCAACGTGCATTTTCACTCAATTGCAGAGACAATTTAATGTTTTATTTTGTGTTTGTTTTTACTGCACAGTGCTCAATATAGAGCGTTACAATCAAGACGGTATGAAATGAAGACATAAAACCTTTTTAGGTCATTCTCAGACAGAAATGGTCTGATATTATTCTATTGTACTACTACTACTACTACTACTACTAC